AGGGCCACTTGAGGTAGAGGGTTACAGAGTAAGAGGTACAGTGGGGAAGATAATGGTTAACCCTAAACTTGAACAGGTTAAAATTGTAGTGATCGAGGAAAACATTTCCTGGTAGTCAGTTCCACAGAGCAGTGATTTGTGGGAAGATGCTGCCCGCGTGGAATACGAAGGGTATAAGAGTTGTTTGCTATAATGCACATAGTATAGTTGGTCCTAGTGATGAAGGCCAGAACTGGTGGAATTAAGGAATGTAGTTAGTTGAAGCACTTTCCATGGAAGTAGTGATAGAGAGAGGCTTGTGATATAATATCAGAGAGGGAGCTACAGGGTGGAAAATAATTCATCACCCACAAGGATGTAGAGACAATTTTTGTACTGGAAAGTGAGAACTGGGCATCTCCTGCCAAAATATGGCAGCAGTCCTCCATTTTTAGCCTAATCTGGTTAAAGGTAGAGGATAGCGGAAGAATTGAGTACTAACTGGAGCAGTTCAGGGAACCGACTATTTTTCCTTTTATCTCTAGCGGTGGATCGTATGTTCCACATCTGGGTTGAGTTTAAGGCCTAATAATTGCTCAAGGCATGAACTCTCCATGAGTGGATATTCCTTCATCTTGATTGGAGGTAGATCGGAGTTTGATTGGCAATGATGGAATGTAACTAGTTTTCGGGGCATTGAATGTAAGCAGCCAGTTTTTCCTCAAGTGAGAAGTTAGAGAAAGATTGAATCCATGAACTGATATTGACTTAATTTTTTGACAATTAACAAACATTAAGTCAATGAATCTGTAAATTTTTTTTTTTTTTTCCCATGAATGTCACTTATTTCGACTTGTAAATGTGAACATTATCTTAATAGAAAAAAATTTACAACCCAAAATTGATGCTTATAATTTGGGGTCATAAATTTTTTTTGCTATTGGGGATGCAAAAATTTTACATAGCACTATGTAAAATTTTTGCATCCTCAATTGCATTGAGAGAATTCTTCACAATCACCTTTTTCAGTTGATCTTGTTCAATAATGGAAGATTATTTAATTACTTTGACAGAATAAATGTGCATGTGTAGTTCCATTGGTGTAAAGATGACTTTGTTTGCGGTGTGTAGTTCCATTGGTGTAAAGATGACTTTGTTTGCGGTGTGTAGTTCCATTGGTGTAAAGATGGCTTTGTTTGCGGTGTGTAGTTCCATTGGTGTAAAGATGGCTTTGTTTGCGGTGTGTAGTTCCATAAACGCAAGCCTCACCTTGTGCACAGTTCCTTCCGTAGATGTAAATCTCACTTTAGTCTGATGGCTTAAAGGACGAAACATGACAGAAAAACTTTCCCATTTTGTCATTAATTTTCCTAACCTAATAAAAAAAAAAAAAAAATTTCTATATTTGTAGATGACTGCAGCATGAAGATGGAGTCAGATCTCGAAGGCAGTGGTCTTCCATATATGCCTGATGACATTACAACTTTACAAAACTGCTTGACCAGTTCTGATAGAAATTATACTTTGTATCCAGGTTAGTTGGCTTGTTTAAAATATATTTAACAAATAATCACTTGACTTGTTTTGGATTTGTTTTCCTTACAATGGTGGTGGGAGTGTTTTGTGTGTGTGTGTGTGTGGGGGGGGCAAACTGCATGAATTTTTAAGATGAAGAATTATATATGATATAAACAGTTGATCCTCATCCTTGTTGTTATAGTCTGAATATTTCGGCTATTTCTGTGATGAAAAATTATTCATTCGAACTGTTATCTTCATCTTGAGTGTGTCATTGTTTGGTAATTTTCTAGGTCTGGCTCCATAGCTGTTGTAGTATATCTACAAACAATAATGGGTGTGCCTCCATTCCCATAAATACGGTAGTGAATACTGTACGTGGTCTAGAGTTAAAGATTCGTCTCCAGCTGTATTGGTCAAACTCTCTGCCTCTGGGCAGAGAGGATCCCAGACGAGGCTGTGTCAAAGGGCCGAGTCTCGTCTCGGGGAAATAGCTACCTGACCCCATTTTATACAGGATCTATGGGAAATTTTTGGCTGAACCTACTGGCTTGGATACCCCAAATTAAATTCAGCCTTGTGCCACATCTGACTGTGTGGGACAGTTGGTAGATATCCTAGAGTTGGAGATTCATTGTGGAATCCACTTCATTGTGGACTCACTTCTAGCAGTTGTCTACTTCTACACGCTGCTAGTGAATCTTGTATGTATTGTTCTTGTCTTAAGTATTATTGTTCATTACCAACATTCGTTTGATTATTCTAGTCAGTAACCTTCCCTTGGTTACAACAATTGTTAGGTTTGCAGCCAGTGTGATGATACAACTGATAACTGGACAAAAGAATTCCTAGACTGAAGTTAACAAAGTGGAAGATTTCTTCAATGGAATCGATGATCACATGTGAGCCTTCAGGTTGGGGTACGTTGGCTGCGTTTTGACCTAGAGATTACTGCTAGGTCTACTTGCCCATGAGATGAATAAATACCTTTCTGGGATGAAAACCAGATATTTGGAACGGATCAGGTGTTCAACTGTGCAGCAACCCAATGACCACATGATGATGGTACTGAACATTCTAGGAATTTAAAGACTGAACTTTTGTTTCAATATATGTTGGTAGATTGTTATTTACACTATTTGTATTTGAACGATTGTCCTCATCTTTGTTTCGGCTGTTGTGCTCTCTGGCCTTCCTCAGGTATATATTGATCTGAGTAACCTACAGGGAATTCTAAACTAAACTCTTTATTTATCTTTTAGCATTCTGTAGGTGACTATTTTCGCCAAGCAAAATGTTAGCCCTACCAATGCAAGTTGAATTTGAATTTCTTGTTTGTGTAGTCATATCCTTCTATGGCAACATCTAAAACAACCTTGACTGAAATTGAAAAAAAAAAAAAAACTTGCATCAATGAAAAGTGTTTATAAAAGAAAAATTGCCAAGTATAAGCAGTCAATTGCTGAAAACTCTTGATGCGCAGATAGTGATTCCCAGAGTATATGTCTATGAAACTCTGGAGTTGGGATGTTGAAGGTAACATCAATTGCCTAATTGACAAACCTTTTACTTGTATTAATATATATTATTTTAAACTTGTTTAAAAGTTATTTTGATGGATACTCATATTTGAGTAGAAGGTCTGTCTTATCTAATATATATATATATATATATATATATATATATATATATATATATAAATTTTTTTTTTTTTTTTTTTTTTTTTCAAATAATAGGAAAAGAACAGTCAGATTTATAATCTAGAGTTCTTTAGCAATTATTTTATTTTTAAAAACATTGCTCAATACAAAGCAGAGCATAATATTATTTTTGAAAAATATCTCCATTGTGACACAGAAATTACTGTTTTGAAACTAAAGCTTAAATCATAAAACAGTAATTTCTATGTTGCGATGAAGACATATTTAAATAAAAATTATATATATATATATATATATATATATATAAAATTTGTCACTTAGGTTATTGATTTATATTCAACATCTTGACTCTACATAGATGGAACCAACTGCCTATTTTGTCATTTTTTGCTATTTTTACATTAAGTTAACAAATAATGTATGCACTTCATATTGGCGTGAGGTTGATTTTTCCTCTTTCATTGTGTGTGTGTGTGTGTGTACACATGCATTGCCTGCACACACGGATTATGGATTTTATTAACTGTGATATTTTAAAATTTTTTATTTTACTTTTTGAAAATTTTTGATACTGAATCATTAAGAATGTGTCCTTTTCATAACTTTGGATCTTTTTTTCTTTACTATTTTAAAAAAAAAAAAAAAACTCCAGCTGGCTTGACTTCTGATCAGCTAAAAACCTCTGAGAAAGAGAATCAAAATATCGGTGGCACCAAACGGTCTAGCGTCTACGACAATGACAACTCTTTACAACTGTCCTCTTCGTCCCCACCTCTATCTCTATCTTCAGACCAACACCAGGACTCCAAGAACCTGCCTCCACTCAAGACAGTGCGCTTGGACAATGATAAAGCGGCCAAAGAAACGTTACACTCCAACCTTAAGTCACAACATGGAAATGGAGGCAGTTTGCATAGTACATCACCTCGGGACCGGAGCAAGAATCCAGCGTCAATAAGTGACCGAGAATGGTTTGAAGGTCAGCGCTTCAACCCTTTCAACACGGAAGTCATTTTTGAAGAAGATCATTATTCAGAAGTTGAATCGACAAGTAAGAATCTTTTCTTTATTTTGAAAGTGTCTGAGTTTATTCCATCATTTATGTGACCCTGACCTTTTCTCCAGTCATGGGAAATGGTTACACTCAGTTTGAACATCTCAAGTTCACTCTAGATCATAAATGGGTCTTGTATATATGATCCATTGCAAAAAATGCTGGAAAAATGGAAGACTTATTCTATCCCCTAAATTATCCGACTCTAGCCCTGTTTTCTTTATAAGAGTCGGATTAATCCCAAAATAGGGTATTGCTGAGCTGGAGCTGTTTGATCCACACTTAACCTGCTCTGATAATTCAAAATCCACAGACTAAAATCACCTTCATTTCCTCCGTATTCCAAATGTAAGGAGGACGTTCCACTCGGATTCTTCCACAAAGTAACAGTTCTCAAGAACTGTTACGTTGTGGAATAGGCTCCTGCATGGCTCCTTCACTGAACAGTTTTAATTCAAGGAACAATTGTTATCTATCCCCCTTATCCTCATAATATTCACTTCCTATCATCTCTTCTTTGATTCATATCACACATCTCATCATTACTAAAAAAATAGTACCTTTATCTTGCCTGGGTCATGAGCCTTGCATTGAGTGGATTCTAAAATATATTATATATATATATATATATATATATATATATATATATATAAAATAAATATGTGTGTGTGCATGATGAGCTGTGATACAGCAAAACAGGCTTGTATGTGAATGACATTTTTTTAATATATAAAAAACACCAAACAAATCTCTTTTAGGTTCTTCTGACAGCCATGCTTGGTCATTTATTCACGATAGTTCAATTCCCACAAAGGACAGTTTGGATATTTCCTTTGCTGAGCTTGGATTAGCTGAAGATCATTTCTCTCATCCTGAGGTAAGTTTTAAATATTTAAAACTCTATTAAACTCATCAACAAAGAAAAAAAAAATTTGGACCACACTTTTTAAGCAGTACCATCCTTTTCATTTTAGTTACCATATTTTGTTGCTTATTAGATACCCCACTCCAAATTTTGAAAGAAAAAAATATTTCCTTGTACTATCTTCCATCTCCCAATTTTAACCACTAAATAACATATTTTGGCATGATAAGCTGACTGGTCATGACAAATTCATACTGAGGACTCAAATTATTTTTGATTCCCCTCCCCCCATAGCTATTTAGAATGTAATAATTAGAGTGCATAATATGACTGAAACCTAACCTGATTGCAGGCTAAAATCCTCATTAATTATGATGAATTCATCACGAAACAGAATGTGGCACTAATTTTAAATTTGCTTCATGTCAAGGAACAATGATGGATGGATGTGTTGTCTTTTTTCTGGAATAAATATCTTTTAAATCAGTAGATTGCCAAACCATGCAATCACAAATGGGTTTTGCAAGTATGCGGAGATATATTTTTTTTTTTTTTTTTTTTTTTTTTTTTTTCTTTTTAGTCTTTTTGTTGTTTCTTTTTAGTCTTTTTGTTATTTCTTTTTAGTCTTTTTGTTGTTTCTTTTTAGTCTTTTTGTTGTTTGTTTTTAGTCTTTTTGTTGTTTGTTTTTAGTCTTTTTGTTGTTTGTTTTTAGTCTTTTTGTTGTTTGTTTTTAGTCTTTTTGTTGTTTGTTTTTAGTCTTTTTGTTGTTTGTTTTTAGTCTTTTTGTTGTTTGTTTTTTTTTTGTTTGTTTTAGTCTTTTTTGTTGTTTGTTTTTAGTCTTTTTTGTTGTTTGTTTTAGTCTTTTTTTGTTTGTTTTTAGTTTTTAGTCTTTTTGTTGTTTGTTTTTAGTCTTTTTGTTGTTTGTTTTTAGTCTTTTTGTTGTTTGTTTTTAGTCTTTTTGTTGTTTGTTTTTAGTGGAAACGTAATTTTTCATTTCTTTGTAGTTGTGAAAGGTAAATTATATCAAGATATCTTCATTCTTAAAAAGTGAAGATATCTTTCTAAGAACATACAAAACTAGTTCTCTCCCTATTACCTACCATATGTCTACACCAGTGACAACACCCATTTCTTGATAACGACCAAGATGGTCAAAAGTATTTGAAGAAAATGTGAATTTTGATCCTGATGTACAACAACTTATTCTAAAATTTAAAAAAAAAAATACAATGAAAAATTAGACCAGCCTTGTTGGTTGAATTTAACGATTTTTCCCTTTCTGTCTCTTGTCCCTTTCTTACTGTAACTAAGTAGCACCTCTGATATATGTCTTTTTTGTCTTATCACGCAATCAAAATGGAATAGTCCATTATTTATGTGGTATTGGTACGGTGTAACGGTCATGCTAAGGGAGGGGCAAGCAGGATTATAAGCTTATTATTTGAGGGGGGGAGTCTTTTTGCAGTATGCAATCTTTGGAGTATTGAACTAAATTATAGCATAATCTTATAATTACATCAGAAGAACAGTCCACGTCATCCGCTCCATGGCTGTGAATCAGTGACAAAGAGGCTCAAGTCAAGACACAGTTTTCTACATTCAGTTGAACCATTGAACAACAGAGCTCTTAGTCAGCAACTGTCCCTGTGGTGCAGCCACCTTAACAATGTGGAAGACAGGCTTTCTCTCAGCTCTACAGAATCTCACCTTCTGGCTCTGGTGATGCCTGGCCCTTCTGGTTCTGTTGGAATCACCTCGGAGAAGCTGTTGGTCACTGTAGAGTCAACTTTCAGAAATGGGATATTCCACCGTTTGTTGATCCCAACTGTTAATGTGGGCAAATACAAACTAAGGAACATCTACTTTGTCTCAATCTTGAAGATCCATGCACACTTAATGACTTTGAAACCATAACATCCCAGCCAAGGCTCTGTGTGTAACACTGGATGGGTGTAGTGTAATGACTCTAGAAGAAAATCCTGCAATTAATATTTAAATTGGATTCTCTTTTCGTTTATTGTTTTAGCCCAGTGGTTTCCTAATTTTTTTTTTTTTTTTTTTTCCTCTGGGCCGCATAAAATCAGTCAATAATTATTTAAACTGGGACTTGTGCATGCAATTACAAGTAATCCATAATAATATTTTAAATTCTGAAATCAAATTTACTTTTGGCATATGAATTTTTTGAAACCATTTCTAAATCTTTGATTGCCTTTCAATCATCCCGCCTCACCTGCTATCCTCTTCTGCTGCACGGAATGAGGTGCACTGCACTGTTTGGGAACCATTGTTTTAGGCTTTACAAGGTTTAGCCCTGTTCTTTTGAAGAGATTGGGAAAGAACCAAATTTTTTAAATAAACAATAACAACAACCAAATTGTAATATGAGCTCTGCTAAAAAAAAAAAAATAAAAAAAAAATACAATGGATATTTATAATTCCCAAAAATTCATTCACTGATGTCGTCAAGGACACATGGCCTAGTTGATGAAAGTTTTGGTTGAATCTAGTGACCCAAGGAGTTGTGAGTTCAATACCTGGCAACATCAGAGGTGAACAAAACCTTGGAGAGCTTAATTAAAATTAAATTAATACTGAGACATCCAGAAGAGGCATGGCATGTGGAACTAGAACTATCACCTCTACTGGACGCAAAAAAGGGTTCAGTTTGAAATTCCAATCACCTGAAGAAGGTTGGAGTGTACAATGGCCTAAACGTGAATATGGCAACAAAGATGAGAACAATAGTCCAAACGAAGTAAATAGTGTAAATTTCTTTCACCGTAATTTTCTCTCTTTTTTTTTTTTTTTTTTTTTTTTCCCTCCATTTTGTCTGTGAGAAAAATGTTTTACAGATTATAAGCCCAGTTTCTTGTCCAATCAAAATATTTGGCTCTAATGCAAACAGGTTAAGCAGGACATAATAATTCAGTGAGATTTGTATTTTAATAAGACAGAACTGAAACTGTTTTTTTTTTTTTTTTTTTCTAATTATTGGAATAATTCCTGGAATGCAGAGAGCGTGAATATTTGTCCAAAGGTTTGAAGCCAATTATTTCAATGAAAACTAAGCCATGTTAAGTTGTGATGAATGTCAATTCTAATATTGTATGAAGTGAGCCGTGAAAGTCTTGGGCATATCTAAATGCTATCAATAACCTTATTTTATGTTTGCATACACATTAAATCTATGCACTGGTTTTCAAACTCTGTCGTTAATAGATTCATGAGATGACTTATATATGGCCGCCTCCCTTCAGGACATTGATCATGGCTCTCCATAATTTCCTGTCCTTTGTAGCTCTATAAATTTTTGTTTTGTTATCTTTGCTAAACTCTGTTCTGACATCCATTTACTCAAGCTCCCTAGGTAGGTTACGCATGATTTTCCTCTGTCTTTAATGCTTTCAATATGTCTTGTGAGTGTCAAATTTTCCAAGCACTCTTTCCTCATTATAGGCCCTAGAAATCTCAACATTTTCTTTCTGATCTTAAGTATATGTATGCTTTCTGTTTTAAATTTTCTCTAAAACTTCATTGTGGCTCACATGTTTGGTCCATGGTATTCTCAGCATCCTCCTGTAGAGCCATTTTTTTGTTGCTTTAAGTCTCTTCATCATTTGTAAGGAGATTGTCCATCATTCCCTGCCATATAGGAGGACTGATATTACATAACAGTTCAGTACTCTTTTCTTTGTTTCTGTTGCTTCAAATCTCTTCATTCGTGAGGACATTGTTCAGCATTCACTGCCATATAGGAGGATTGAACATTACGTAACTGTAATTAGACCTAATTGCTTAGCCGTTTGGCAGGCAAATGGCAATGAGCTATTTCCCTTATTAATGTGATAAAACCAACTGCAAATGCATTTTATGCATTCCCCTTTTTAAATATTTTTAATGGTTTCAAGAAAGCGGTATCAGTTGATGACTGTGGCTTCACAAACCCTCTCCTTGCTTATTTGATTCTCATTCAGCACTCTCTTATTGTGATCCTGTGCCAGACTATATTAAGCTTTGCAAATTCTGATTGAGGCTGTTGCAATCTCTTTTGCACAGGTACCCTTTAGAAAAAGACATGAAACAGCCTCTCTCTATTGCTATGTGTGAAATGGCATGGTAGACTGAACTCTTTAGACTTAGCTGGAAACCAACCTAGGAGAAAGGCATCTTTGACTTCAAAACCGGTTTGGTGTGGGTCTAGCAACTCCACCCCTGTTAAAAAAAAGAAAAAAAAGACCTACTTGCCATGATGAGGCCGCACCCATGTGCTCTATGGGCGAGTTTCCAGGACTTGCATATATAATGCTCCTGTAGTGAAGATCTTGATTAAAAGCGAGAGAGACAGAGGAAAGCAGTGAATAACCTCCCTAACAAGCTTGTGTAAAAGGAAGTTGTCGAGAGCCATGATCACTCACGTCCTGAAGGGACATGTCATATAGAAGATGAATAAGCTTGTGTAAATGGTTGGAAGAAAAGGGATTAGAAGAGATAGCAAAAAAAGGTAAACATTACTAATGGCAGGAAAGGACAGGAAGTTGTCGAGAGCCTGAAGTGGGAGGGAGCATAGAAGAAGTAAAGACAAACTTATGACTACTTTTTCCTGCTAAATAAACTCTGATTGCTACTTGTTATTTTCTTATAAAATGCAGGGTCATTTTGGTCAGACCAGTGAAGAGGAACTTCTAATGGCCATAGAAAATTGCAAAGAACTTATCAGGCAGTGCAATGCATTGGTCCCAGCTGGGGCTGAACGTCAGCAAAAACTTGTACGCAAACTCATTCAATTGCGAATGTACTATCTGGACTTGAAGGTAAGTGTCGTCTGAATCCTCCATTTATTAGTTGTTATTGATTTCTTTTCTTCTTCAACCTGTACAACAAGTTTAGCTTTCAGGGATTTTTTTTTTCATCACACTTAGCTAAATATAACTTGCTTATATAATCAAACTGTCATTGTCGTGTTTTCCTACATTTTAAATGATACATTTTTTTAAATTTCACCATGTTATTTATGCCTTTTTTTACGTACCGATATTAAGAGTACTTAAAACGATTACTTAGTTACTTATTTCTGTGAACCTGTTTTAGAATTATTGCCACGGGATGCCAACAATATTATTTAAACAATTTATCCGTAAATAGTCACTTTTTTATAGCTGGCTTATGGCCATATTGAAACTCCAGTTCTTGTACAATTACTGAAGTTAATTAGTGTTGAGACTGGTCAATACCTAGATGAGTGATGGTTTGAGAATACCAGGTGCTGCAAGTTTGGATGTGCAGGTGGTGTAATGGATAATGGCTCAGAATTGTTAACTGGAGAGCAGAGTTCTAATGCCCGTTGGGTTTGTTGTATTTGTTTACATGCAAAAATCCTTGGGAAAGGTATGAATCCACCTCCTCTCCCTCTAGCCATGGGTTAATTAGTAAGACTTGTATCATTAAACCATTATTATCTTTAAAAAAAAAAAAAAAGTATGATCACTGAAGTTAAGCAATGACAAGTCTTGTCACTACTTAAATGGGTGACTGCTTGGGAATGCCAGGTGCTGTAAGCTTGGATGTGTGGGCCACATAATGGATAATTGTTTGTAATTGTTAATCAGAAAGCAGTTCCAATTCGAGTTGAATATTTTATATTCACTTATGCTCTAACAAATAACCTTGGGAAAGTTATAAATCCATCTCTTCTCCCCTTAGCTATGGGTTAATTAGTAAGATTTGTATCACCAAATCATTATTATTTTCAAAAAAGATTGTAAAATCTAAATATTTTCTGGCTTTAAATAACCGTCAAAGGGTTGATCAGCTGCAGAAAACGAGTGACTCAATCAATTTTTATAACCATCTGTGTCACATATTGCCAACTAATAATTTTTCGTTTGCATAAGTAATCATTCTAAGTAATGCAGTTAATCGAAATAAGTGCTGGGTAATTTGTTGGGATTTTTTGGAGTTGATGGATGTAAGGGAGTTAACTCTTTATGCTTATTTTTAGCTGATACAAAATATTTAATGATATAGACTAAAGTGTTTGAAGCAAGAAATGAAGGCCATAAATCTGGTAAAATTTAATTTCATATATTAGAAATTTCTAGAAAAATTTCTTATATTAGAAACTTCTGGAAAAAAATTTTGATATTAAATTATATTAGAAACTTCTGGAAAAAAAATTTATATTTTTATAATCTGTTGTATTGTGGGATTTTATGTTGCTTGGGTAAAAAATAAGTAACACAAAACACGGAATTTAAAAGAAATGACAATGCATGTTATTGACAAAAGGAATTACATGTGTACACAATCGAAAGCAGAGGAGAAGGCATTAAAACTAGCTAAAAGAATGTATTTGTTTGTGTGCGTCTGTGTGAAACAAGTGTGTGTGAATTTGGTCAACAGAGGACCAGAGAAGTGGACATGCCCCATCAACAGTGTTATTTATCTCTGTTTGACTTCATCTGGAAGCAGGAAGAGAAAGAGAGAGAATATGTTTGCCTTTTTATAGACTTAAATAGCGCCACCTAATGGGTGCTTTTGGTGAAGCCAATTGTGGTAACCCACAGTTTCAAAATTCAGGTGTAGATAAAAAAAATAAAAAGAATGATACTGTTTGCTCAAATGGCTGAAAAGTTTGATTGAGAGTAAGCAATAGGACTATCAAAACTATTAGTAAAATAGTAGTAGTGGTGGTGTTACTAACAGTAATACAATGCAATACAATAAAAAATAGGTTATGAACAACGCCGTTAAACAATCATAGAAGGCCATGAAGACATCATTTTTTGGGAATTGGCAAATATATAGAAATGAATAGACTAGACAAAGTGATTAAAGACTACAAATAAAAAGATGTCTTTTTATAAATATGATTGTGTTATTAGATGAAAAAAAAATTCTGTTAAAGAATTTGATAAAGTAAGTAAATACAAGGAACATGTAATTGAAAAAAGGCAGAAGATTGGAACTTACAAAGAGTTGATAAGCTGTAAAAAAAATAAAAAAAAAAAATAAAAAAATGTTTTATTTTCTTTTTTTTTTTTTTAAAAGTGTGTATTAGTTTCTTGGCCTGTGCACTCAAAAAACCCCCCAAAAAAACGTGTGTTCCAGTGTGGTTTGAATCTGTGCCCCCTCACTCCTTTGTAGGAGAAAACGTGGGTATCCAGCAAAAAAAAAATGTTTGATGTAATAAAAATGTCAGATTAACAATAAGTTCATTAGTTCTTTAGAAATGACATTTTTATGGATAACCTATCAGAATTAGTGCAAACAGAATGCATATGTTTACCCAAGGAAATAGTGTACCTTACCCTAGGAAATAGTGGCTTTTTTGGTCTTTATATATATATATGTGTGTGTGTGTGTGTGTGTGTGTATGTATGTATATATATATATATATATATTCATTCATTCACCTTTCTTTTGGACCTTTTTCATTAAATATGAGGGACCATGAAAATCTAATTAATTTTAGTTTTTATTTTTTTTTTTTTTTTTTTTTTTTTTTTTTTTTTTTTTTTCAGTGTTCTTACATTTTTCCGTTTGGGAGTAGGGGAGTACAATAATTTTCCCAAGTGCTTTTGGACACTTTGGCTATTTTAAGAGGGGTGGGGTCTTTTAGATATTAATTTCTCATGTTTTGATTGTTTGAGATTTATTTTATTTTTGTGTTTTGAATGATAGTTGGAGTGTTTATTCTGAGCCTTCACATGTTGAGTGTGGCTGGAATATATATATATATATATATATATATATATATATATGTGTGTTATAATCAGCACTCACAACTCCAGATTTTTGTATCTTTGACACTCAAAGCTGAAAGATGGCGGGAAGCAAAAAAAAAAAAAGGAATGGTGAGATAGTATAAAGAGACATGAAAATTAAATAAGTAATAATGACAACATATATACATGCACATACAGAAGAAAAAAAAATCAAACACATGGCTTATTTTTTAACTTAGTATAAAAATAAAAAAAAAAAAGAAAAAATCAGCAGACAATTGATGATACCTCCTGACAAGTGGACCAAATGATTACAAAAATATTTTCTATGAAACTCTCAAGTTAGTGAATATATCATCAATCAGCTGAGTGACAAATTTTATATTTGTATTAATCCCATATAATATATATATATATATATATATATATATATATATATATACACACAAATAAATGTTAGCTCTATCACTTTCCAGTAAGTATCTTGCATATATAATATATATAAGAACTACACACACACACACATATATTCTTCAAAGGGTTCTGTTTTTTTTTTTTTTAAATGATATTTACAATTATCCCATGTCTTTTTTCAATCCATTTTGTACATGTGTGCATTCATGAATTTAATGTTTTTTTTTGTTTTTTTTTTACACATGCACGTGTTCATGAATTTTTGCTTTTGTTTACATTTTCTTTTGACGGGGAAAACAACAACAAAATAATTAATATTAAAGTTAAGTAATCTTTTTGTATGGTATTAATACATGGTATTTTAATATTATTAATATTGAGAACTATATATAAAAATATCTGCTGTTTCTTATATACTCTTCTTTTTTTAAATCAATAAGAGTTTGTGGTTCACGTTTCAATGATCATGTTGTTGTTGAATTGTCTTTTTTCTAGGAAGGTCCAGTCCAAGCTGATCCTGAAATTAAACTTGTAATGTCTCATCATTTTAAGCAAAAAGTTGGTGCCACAAAACATCCCTGTGAGAAATGTAAAAGAGTCATTTGGGGAATGATTGGAATTCATTCTTGGTATAAATGTCAAGGTTTGATATCAATTTTCTATATGGTTCTATTTTTCACTCACAAACTAATATATCATGAATTCCAGATTTGAAGATGGCTGGTGTTGAACTAGCTTGAAATAGACTATACCCATGTGAGGTAATTTTCGTCTTTGCTGTAAAAAAAAATATATATGCTCTGTTATAATGAACACTTAATAACATTTATTAACAACATTTATTAATATTAACCAAGTGACAAAAATGAAACATGGAGATTTCAATTCCAAGTTCGAAATTTTCGTACTGATTACATCGGTACCCTTTCATTAGACTTTGTTTTATTGACCAATTTATCTACTCTATTTTATATACTATATGAAGTACATGTGAACTTTTTCTTTCTAATCATGTATTTTGGACCTTACCTTGACAACCCTTAAATACATGCTAAAAGACAAAATGAAAATAATCTAAAGGAACTTGCCTCACCTTGACAACACCTAACGCTAGAAGATAACATGGATATAACTTGAAGAAACTTACACAACCAAGATCAGATATTCCCTTCCTTACCACTTGCAAACAACTAATTATTGTCCCTAAAGGACTGTAGTAGCTAGTGTATATATATATATATATATATATATACTCTCATGCTCACAGAACATTTTTTTTTATTCCCCACTTTTTTATATTGTCATTGGCATTATTAGTATTTTTTATGTTTTTACCTCTGTTTATTTTTGTTACGTTTTTATTTCAGTTAATTTTTTTTTACATACCCCCCCCTTGTCTGATGATTTTCCAAAAGGATTCTTTAATCCTTTTTTGTAGTATTTCTTCCCTCTTATTTTTATTGCCTTTTTACACTCTGATCCTATCTTGATACAAAACGCATCCATTTTTGTGTTTTTTTCCTTTTCGTATTGTCATTATCATTATTTTTTTTTTATTTCGCTTTATTTTTTCCACAACCCCTTGTCTAACAATAATTTTCCTAAAAGAATTATCCCTTTTTTTTGTGCTTTTTCTTTCCTCTTTCACTTTTTTTTCTTTTTTTTTTTGCTTTCATTTTATTTTTATTGACAATCTCACTATGTTCCCACACTGTTCCTAACTCAAATCTTTCAACACTAATACCATCCCCCCACCTCGATCCAATAACCTCTCTGTTCAATATCTCACTCCCCTTCTACCCACCAACAATCACAATTTTTAAATCTAACGTTATTTTCACATAAAGTTTTGCACAGTGAGAAATCGGACAGGGAATGGATTTTTTCTAACAATTCCACTTACAAGCAGACTCTACCCACCTCAAAAACTAATGTTGGATAGTCTCTGTTTATTTCTCACATTTGCTGATGAACAACACTTGGAACTTCAATCTCTGTGCTTCATTTTTGTCACCTGGTTAATATTAATAAATGTTTTTCGTACTGATTTCACCGGTACCCTTTCATTTGACTTTTTTATTGACCAACTTATCTACTCTATTTTATGAATTATATGAAGCATACGTGAACTCTTTTTTTTTCTAATTATATGCTAGCAGTAGAGCCCGGCGTTGCCCGGGGATGTAACAGTAAGAGATAGATCAAGTATCGACCATCATAAAGACTGAAAAATAAATTTGACAAAGATTATTGTTTAAGGTTGACGGACACGCATGTCTTAATTAGTTTTTTTTTTTTTTTTTTTTTTTTAATTGGTCAAACTCAAACAAAAAAAACATTGTTTTCAATCGTTATGAGTCTACCAATTGAATAGAATTTTATTATAAACAATTGTCTTGTAAATGGAATTTTTAAAGCATTTTGAATGTAAAAATAAAGAAAAGTGTGCAAGACAATAAGAAACACAACCTGCCAAAAAAAAAAAAAAATAGTGAAATTTTGTTGAAAAAATGTAGGAAATCCGATCCAATATATAAACGAACAGACACACACACAACCTGGGTTTTATAATAAGTATGAGATATATATATATATATATATATATATATATATAAAGTAAAAGTTTTGTCACTTAGTTGATTGATGATACCTTCAGCATCCTGACTTCAGAGTTTTGTAGACACTCTTTGGAGATTATACCATCCACACATCGGGGATATCAGCAATTGATGGCTTATACTTCACGATTTTTTTTTTCTCATTTTACAATCACTCTTTGAACATTTTTCTGTTTTTTTTTTTTCTGTTTTCTCTTTCCTTTCAGTTGTTTCCATATGAATATCTAGTATATCTATCTATTATCTAGACATGTTATCGTTAATTTTCTAGTGTTCTAGTTTTTCTTGTCAGGAAAATTTTATTTCACTTTTTTATATAATTAATTTTAATGCTTAAATGATAAAAGTAAATATTTATATATGTCATAGCCATTATTTCATTTTCTTATTTGATTTGGTGGTATCTTAATTACCATTAGGGTATTAATTGTAGGAGGTTATGTTTATAATTAAGATTTTATTTATTATGGTTTGAATTTAAGTGCATATGCTTATATTCATATGATTATGCACACACACACACACACACACACACACACACACACACACACACACACATGCACACTTGTGCTTTATTTTTAATATATAATAAAATAATTTTATTTCCTGACCTTGATGTTTGATAAATCTTGCAAGGTAATTCTCGCAGGGTGAAATAGCTATACATATCAGTTAGTGGTTAGAACATTTGCTTTCTGACCATGAGACCAGGGTTTGAATCTCACCATAGTCAATTTATCAGGAAGGTGACTTCCTGATGTTATCAGACTGGATGGAGGTCGATCCCAGCATGTGGCACCTTTGGAAAGTGCCTGAAAACCATACCACAGGTTGACCTAAGCTTTGTGAGTGAAATTGGGTAGACGGAAGACTTGTGAGATGCTGATAGCTGTGCTGCCACAAGTCATCATGGCTGAGGGCTTTTGTGTGCTGTCCTTTTTTAAATTGTTGATCATGCTAGATTACACTCTTTCTCCCAGAAACTGTAACTAAAGTCTGCTCAGCATAATTGCAGTATAAACCACAGTTGGGTTCTGTAGGTGTTGAGCGTCTGCAATAGGGATTGCCAGGCCACCCTAGTAGACGGGTATCCTCAAAGATTAGTGGCCAGCTATTTTGTATATACAGGGTGCCTATAAAATACGTGTGCACTTTAAATTTTAATTTTTTTTTTTTTTTTTTTTTTTTTTTAAGTGCACACGAACTTTATGGACACCCTGTATATATTTTGTGTGTTAGTGGAAGTTGACTCGTAACCAAGAAAGACTCCTCCAGGACTCAACTCTCATGCAAATATTTGAATATTTCAAGAATATTTTCCATGTCATTGAAGACATTTTAAATGGCCCATAAAACTGCTGGTTATGCTTATTTGTGTGAAATAAGAATGGAGACACAATTTGAACCTTTATACATTTTATTCACTGTTGGATAATAATAAATGTAAAACATCAATGAATTACTGGCAGATTTTCTTCTGTGGTCCTACAGAATTATGCTCAAGGGGCATAACTTTGTTCTTATCTAGGGACTGAGTTAGCTCCCTTGTTATCATAACAAGTCCGTCCTAACAAAGCTGTAAGTGATCTGCAAACTATTCCACATTGAAGACTCTCCCGTATTCAACTATCAATCTGATTGTGTTATGGCAGTGGGAAAGTGACTGAATCTGAGATGCCAGGTCAGGACGGATGACATTGCAAATTCTTTGGATTTGGGATAGTTTATATTTTCCATCTCTCTCTATTTTCTTGTGTTTCTCTATAGATCTTTTAGAAAGCTTAAATATGTTAGTGCCACTTGAGGAAGTTAGAATTTTCTTTTTAGGTTACTGAAATTTTAGGGTTTCATGTTTAGGGAAAAGGTTCAAATAAGTTAAGCTACAAAATTGTATTTCATACAGTAAGTGACACAAAAGGAGAAATCACCCCCCCCCATTTTGATTCTTATTTTCTTTCTTTTAGATTGTGGATACCACTGTCACCAAAAGTGCCTTAACACAGTAACTCGGATGTGCCCGAGTGCAAAGGTTAGTCATACAAACAACTCTGCTCACTCTTAATAATACTTACATTTGCTTTTACCAACAACTGCAAGCACAAGCTATTAAGTTTTGACTATTATTTCTTTCATCTTCCTTTTCATTGCTTTATTTCCACTAGTATTATTAGTAGTAATATTATCTTGAATTTTATTATTATTATTAGATGAAGTCTTGTCAATTCTTATTCATTTTTCACTAGTATTTCTTTCATCTTCATTTCAATTGCTTTATTTCCATTAGTAGTATTAGTAGTAATATTGTCTGGAATTTTATTATTATTAGATGAAGCCTTATGCATTGTAGATTGTTTTTTTTTGTAGATTGCACAAGGAGTTGGATTTATCACAGACATTTGCCCTGAGAAAGGTCTTAGCCGACAAAAATTTCGCTGTGCTGATTGTCGGGAGCCTATTGAATATCAGAGCAGTAAGTATTGTCTAAATATAACTTTGACCTGTTTATGAAGATATCTTTCTTCAATCCTTGTCATGTGCAATCTTTGAAGAATGAAAAAAAAACAAAACAATCCCTTGTTCCTCTGGAAACAATCAAATGAGTGTTAGAAATCCTATTACAATTGTCTTTGTCCCTCTCTTTGTGAAAAGACACTACTTGGTTTCAGTGAGAAAATGAAGGAAGGAAAGAATGGGGAAGAGAGAGAATCAGATTAAGAACAGATACTACACTTTGATCTTAGCAAAATGGCCGAGAAACGATTGTATTTTCTTGCTACCTCAAGCTGTCAGGATGTGACACAAGGTCAGCTTAATGTGGGGGAGTTTGAGTGCGTGCACTAGGCAAAGTTCAAAACTAGACCAATTCCCCATAACCATTGGTTGTGCTGGCATTGGTTTTACTACTGATCCCTGTTCTTTAATGCAATAAGGGAGGTACTCCTGCAGGCACCTGTTTCCCGGGGATGGGTGCCTCCTAATAATATTTTCATTTGCGCTCTCTCTGCAGGCAGACACAACTATCTGAAGACAGATGAAATATAGTTTTTCTACCTGAGGGCAGATATATTTTGATCCAGTAAAAAAAAAAGCTGAGACTCAATAGCAACAGTGATAATTATGCCATGTTTCAGATGCACAGTATCAAACAATGGCAGTAAGGTAATCACCAAAAATCCGCTTACCATAAATAAAATATCATCTGCTGAATTATTATTATTATTATTATTATTAAGAGAAATGTTTGGAATTAGGCTCATATTCATTAATGTACCCATTGGACTATTCTATTTCCATGGTTCTGTCTATGCAAAGTACTCAGGTGAATGCAAACGCCACCAGAGAGAGAAAGAACTTTCTAACAAAAAGTTGGGTAAGAAAGGAAATCTATGCTTGCCTGATTTTCTCAAAAGACCAATATATCTGCCTCTTTCAATTCTGATTTATGGTACTCTTTGTCAAACTGTGAACTCTTTTCTCTCTCAAAATGATCTGCCATATCGATTTTCTCTTGTTCTTAATTATAGATGATTTTCCCTTTATATATCTTGCCACACCTGCAAGGTATGCTATAAATGCAATTCTTTGGCAGACTTTTACCTTGCAAAGAATAGATTTACTATTGAATACCAGCCCAATGTAACATTGGAGCTGTTCTATCATCTCTCTTACATGAAGAATGTTCTTTGTAATTAGATTGCGATACTGGAAATTCTACAGGTTTTGGCAACGTCCCGTTGAAACATTGGTTCCCATAGGATTACTGAAGTTAAGCAATGTTGAGCCTGGTCAGTGCCTATATGGGTGATGGTTTGGAAATACCAGGTGTTGTAAGCTTGGATGTATGGATGGTGTAATGGATAATGGCTCGGAAATATTAATCAGAAAGCAGAGCACCAATGCGTTCGTCATATTCACTTATGCGCAAATATTCTTGGGAAAGGCATGGATCCACATCTCCCCCCCCCCAGACTTATATCACTAAACTATTATCTCAAAGCAAAAACTCTTCTAAAATCAAAATTATTTTTTGGCTTTAAATAACCTGCAAAGGATTGATAAACTGTAAAAAAGAACAAATCAACCTAGTTTTTCATCCATGTTCAGAATTTTTTTTTTTAAATTCTCTCACCCCAAGCAAGGCAATAAAGCCACTAGGACACAAAGGGTTACTGAGTGTTAGAGAATATGAGAAAAGCTACTATTAAGGAGAGAGGACAATAGAAGAACAAGAATTAAGAAGACAGAAGATAACGATTGATATTGCATTTAAAGTTTTGAAGATGAAAGTTGACTGGGGAAACAAGAAGCTGGAAGCAAGAATTGCGATAGAAGAAACTGTTAGCATAGAACTTGGGGTTACATCTAGCCATTTCAGCTGTAATATGAAACCTTGCCGCCAATCTTGTACTGTGCTTAAATTCATAAAGTCCATGTACCATAGAGGAAAGTAATATTCATTAAAAAAAAAAAATACAAAAGTGGGGGGGATGTGAATGCCGGTCTTCAGTCTGTCTTACCTTAAACTTAGCTAATCATAATTACTAACCCAGATACCACAGTATACCTTAAACCAGAACAACACATTCTTACCATTCTTACTACAGTCACCAACCTCAAAGTCTCTATGAAGTCCTAATTAATTTCTATATACACAATTTGTTTGGTGGGAGGGGGATAAAAATAACCGCTTTAAAAAAGAAAAGCAAAATAATGTTCATCAAAACAATTATTCTGATAGTATTTATAGAAAAGGTACAGGAAAGTGACTGAAGCTGAGATGCCAGGTCAGGACTAATAACATTGCAGAGTCTTCTTTGGATTTTATCAAGAATCTCTAAAGATGTAGCAGGAACACCAGACCAAATGTGTCAGCAATATTCAAAGCAAGGATGAATGACTTATAAACGTGTAAGATAGATTCTAGCGAGAAAAATTGTCTAGCTTGACACGGTGAACCAATTTTCCTTACTGCAGGCCCAGGCATGGATTCAAAATTACTAATCATACTGGGAATTCTTGAACTATTCTTTATTCATATATTGGAGGTTGTTTCACAATTGTTGAAACCAAGCAGTGACCTCGCAGATGGGGGAGAGCACGAGGGGTGTGAGGACCCTGATGAGGAGGAACAGTGGTTCCAGCAGGCTGGTTCTCCCCCCTCACACTGGTAATGCTACCCATAGCATGACCCTGTGGAAAGTTTGGGGAGGGTCTGATCAGCCGCAAAGCTGAAGTGGAATGGGTACCTCACTCATCTGACCTGAACCCCCCGGATTTCTTCCTCTGGAGGTTCCTCAAGGACATCATCTCCCAGGACAACCCTCTCTCCATTGCTACAATGAAGGCAGCCATCACTGAGAAGATCCAAACGATCACCCAGAAGCAATGTGTATGCGTTATCAATAACTTTGCATTCAATGGTGCCTTCACCTGAACGGTGGACATCTATAGCATTTACTCTAGGGCTCTTCTTGACATTTTTGGTTCATCTTTGATACTAAATGGTTGAAGATCCTAAAATGTTATCCTTTTAAATTTCAATAAATGTAATTATCATTACTCTATCATTATAATTGGCCCTGTTCTGGCATCTTGTCTACAGTCGCTCTCTCGCAGACGTGCAGTCACCTCTCTGTGTCTTTTTTTACAAATACTTTCATGGCAATTGCTCCGAGGAGCTGCATTTGCTGGTTCCCAGACTTCATGAGTTCAAGCGCCCTACGAGGCTGACATCCCACTCTCACCCCTTCACTGTCAAAACTCCTAAATGTAGCTGTCTTTTCTACTCCAATAGCTTCATGTCTCGCACCTCTCGCCTGTGGAACTCACTTCCCTATTCCAGTTTCCCTGATAGCTATAATCTCCAGCTATTCAAATGTAATGTCAATCGACATCTCCAGTTGCCTTGATCTATCCACTATCCTTCTCCTCATCCTTTCCTCTATCACTCCTATCTGATCTTGCTCCAAATCTTCTGTAACCCCTTGCGTCCTAGTGGCTTCTTGCCTGGCTTGGGGTGAAATGCTTAAGAAAAAAAAAAAAAAATTGTGTACCTGATTTGTGCCTGACTGGTTTTTTTCAAAAATTGTGAAACCCTCTATATTGGAGGGTGTTATTAATGATCATAAATTCTGAAGTGGTTTGTTCAGAAATACTGAGTTTTTAATTTTGATTTGTGATTTCAGATCAAGGTTGGCAGGAACCGCGGCAATGTGATTATACAGGCAATTTCTATTGTGAAATGTGCCATTGGGAGGATCTTATGATTGTTCCAGCTCGGGTCCTTTATAATTGGGATTTTGAACCCAGGAAGGTAAGAATCTGAGAATTTAGCTTTCTTTTTCGGAGGTGGGTCAGCATATTTTCTTTTTCGTCCTCAGCCTGACCAAGAAATGCTCCCTTACAGAAATCTTAATTTTGGTCATTTAATTAGTTTGGGAGGTGAGTCATTCCCCATCCCCCTCTCTCATTTTTAAAAAATTTTTTTTTTACTCTCTTTGGCCTCTCCCAAAATCTTTTAACTGTTAAGTCAGCACAGTTGCAGTATGAACCATTGGTAGACTCTGGGTTGAGTGGGCATTTGAAATAAGCATTTGCTAACTTCCATGGTAGACAGGAGTGCTTGGAAACTGGTAGTCAGCTATTTTATATATATATATATATATATATATATATATATATATATATATAAAAAAAATCTCATTCACTCATAGGCATACGTTTCTCATGAGATAATGATAGCACCATGTTTTGGTCAAAATTCAGTCCATTGGTGGTAAAATCGAAGTGACCTCCAGGATGCAGGCCTCTGAGTGAAGGTAAATGGAGTTTGTGCGCTGCCCAGACCAAATCCCCACCTCCCACCTATTAGCCAAAGTGGCAAGATCCACAGGAATACTAGGCATTACATTTGGGACTAGCATGGCAGCTGGAAGTTGAAAGTCAGCTGCCTTCAGGGCTCCACTCTGGATTTACTTCCATGGACTTTTCCGTGTTTGGATATCACCGCAAGGCAGCAGAGGTTTAAAATAGGATTTTTTTTTCCTCTAGATGGACTGTCCTCTGATGAGTTCCATCTACGAAAAGCAGCTGGTTATGAGGTGACAGTGGTCTGCTTTCAGCTCTTCTTCTTTGGGTTGGACTCCATTGTCAGAGGTTATTTGAAATGCATGACAGGGCTTATAAGTCAAACTCCATTAAACGTAACAATTATTATGGAAGTGATATTGTAGTTTTTTTGGAATTAGAAAAGATTGCATCTGTGCTAATCATATAACTTTGTACAACCATTGCTTTTTATACTTTATTTCTTTCTTAAAGGTATGTCGTGCCAGTCGACAGTTTCTCAAACTGCTTATGAAAAAACCAGTTCTGGATATAGAAAAATACTGTCCATTAATATTTAAAATGTCAGACATGACAGAAATCCAGGTAGGCCTTTTTTTTTTTTTTTTAATTTTCATTTTAAATATTTTCTTTCTAAATATTTTCTTTCTAATTCATAGAAAAGTTCTATGTGCTTCCAAATTAGTGAAAATGCTATTAATTTGTGTTTTCAGGGGAGATAATTCCATCATGTTTAATTCGACATTTCGGTTGAACTTAGGCGTCTTGACAGTTTGTGAAGCGAGTTTGGTTGACCATTACTACATAGTTTTATTTTAATAGTTTCTTCTTTCACAATTCTCCCCTGTGGAACTCTCTTCCAAATTCTGCTTCCCTGTCAACTATGGTCTTCTAAATTTTAAATGCAATGTAATTGAATCCTGTAGTCTTTATTGTTCTTTCTCCTCAATGATGTTATCCCAGTTTCTTTAGCTTTCAGTAACCCCCCCACCCCAGTCTTAGTGACTTTATTGCCTTGATTGAAAGTGGAAAGAAAAAGCCTATCACAGAAAATGTTGTTTCTTGAATCTTTGGTAATTTTAGAAAATGTCTAATTGTTTTAATGAAATGTTTTCTTTATTTTCTATTAGGTTTAATCGCTACTCTCACGCATTTGCTTACAAAATTCTTTGGTCTTTATTTCTCTTTATTGCATTGTTCTTGTGGGTAACGAATTTGACTGAGAATGTTGTTTGCAAAAACCAACACTTATGATAGCAAGTTTGACATAAAGCTAAAAGTGCAAAGATCAAACTCTGTTAACAATGCTTTGCTCACGAGCATATTGAGTGTGAACCTTTATTCAGCAGAGTTTTTCTTTTTTTTTTTTTTTTTTTTTTTTTTATAAATAAAGCCAAAGAGCTACTCAAGGTAGAGAATAACTGTATGGTGTCGCATGAGCATAATAAATGCAAGAAGTGCACTTCACGGGGTTATGTAGAAAAGATAATGATTAACCCTAGACTTGAAGAGGTCAAGATTGTAGAACTCATTGAAAACATCCTGCCAGGAGTTTGTTCAACAAAGCAGCAGTTCTTAGGAAGAAAGTGTCAAAGTGGAACTTATGAAGAAAGCGATGATGATTCATCCACATGTACATGGCATGGTGGGTCCCAATTGCAAAGGTCGGGTGGTGGAACCGAAGAATGTAACTTGTCAAACATTTGCCATAGAAATAGTGATGGAGCAGCAAGAAGCTTGCAATGTTTTGTCTATGTTGAACTCTGAACAACCTGGTGAAGACTGGGCATTTCCATGCCAGATGGGTTAGCAATACTACATTTTCAGTCTGTTTTGGCTCTTGTAAAGTATAGTAGCGGATGGGGGAGTCAGATACTTACTGGAATGGAATAAAATATATATATATATATATATATATATACACACACACGCAAAAGCTGCATTTAAGCTAGCTCCTGTGGAGAGCTGTTAATTGGGCCTTCATCGCAACAGGTAGGAAGAAGTAGATGCAACAAGCAAAATAAACTACAGAAGAACTTAAAATTGATTGCTGCATTTAAGTATTGCATTAATATCTAAGCTTAGCTTTTAAAAATTCAATGATAATTCTTTTACAGACACTTAATTTAAAGACAATTTGATGTACGTAGGTCCTTATTTTCCATACAAACAGTTATTTTTATTTCATGGCTGACTTTCATTGGATTTCGTAATTAATTTTAATTATTCCCACATTTATTTCCAAGTCATAAAAATTATCGTACAAAAAAAATTTGTTGCAAAAAATCACTTTAAAAAAAATTGCTGAAAACAATCACAGTAATGAAAACTTGGAAATCCAAAATTTCAGATTGGCAGGTCCGGAACCAGCTTGGAATGTTTTAATTTGCACATGGAGTTGGCCTGATTCCAGAATGGTATATGTTGGGCTACAGTGTCTAGGAGTAAAGTTGAAAAAGTGTAGCACAGTGACATTCGTGTGTATATATATATATTTATTTATTTTTTTTTTTTTTTTTTTTATAAATCTAAAAATTAATTTAAATTAATTTTTATTTATGTTGAATTTTATTTGGGGTAACCAGTGAGGTTTGAACTCGCGACTCATTATTACTGTTCTACTAGACATGTCTGACGAAGAGATCCTTAAAAAAATCCTTTTCGGTAGTTGGTCAGGCTAAGAACTTTCCAGTATACCCTTGTACTATATGAAGATGGCAGACATGTTAAGCATGATAATTGAATCTTTGATATAATTTTCACCAAAATAATTCCAAACTAGTGCAAGATTTTATAACTTTCTTGGTTTAAATAACCATTTGACTTGTTTGTTTCCACAGATTTTAAAATGGGAATTTCTATTACATGTTTTTATTTATATTTCTAGAAACTTCGAAATGACATTCTCATGATGAAAAAATATTTTATCCAGTGTAAAAAGGCAAGAGACAGTAAACTGCTGTTATCGGTAAGTGACTATTTTTAACTTTTCTTCTTTTATTTGTTTATATTTAAAACAATTGTGAAGTAAAAAAAAAAAAAAAAATCATTGATCAATTTATATAATAAATGTTTTTATTCTCATCTCTCATTGCCCTCTCTTTCTCTTTTTTTTTTTTTTTTTTTACTGACTGGCTATTTTCACTTGCTTATTGCAGACCCCAACTTTTTTTTTTTTTCCTTTCCCATTTTCCACTTTTTTTTTTCCTTTCCCATTTTCCACTTTTTTTCCCTTTCCCATTTTCCACTTTTTTTTTTCCCATTTTCCACTTTTTTTTTCCTTTCCCATTTTCCACTTTTTTTTTTCCTTTCCCATTTTCCACTTTTTTTTCCTTTCCCATTTTCCACTTTTTTTCCTTTCCCATTTTTTTTTTTTTTTCCACTTTTTTTTTCCCCATTTTCCACTTTTTTCCTTTCCCATTTTCCACTTTTTTCCTTTCCCATTTTCCACTTTTTTCCTTTCCCATTTTCCACTTTTTTCCTTTCCCATTTTCCACTTTTTTCCTTTCCCATTTTCCACTTTTTTCCTTTCCCATTTTCCACTTTTTTCCTTTCCCATTTTCCACTTTTTTCCTTTCCCATTTTCCCACTTTTTTTTTCCATTTTCCACTTTTTTTTCCTTTCCCATTTTCCACTTTTTTCCCTTTTCCCATTTTCCACTTTTTTCCTTTCCCATTTTCCACTTTTTTCCTATTTTGTCTTTTTATACCAACTTCTCCATTTTTGTTCCAAAGGCAAATTAATTTAGAATGTATTTTCCAGCTCACTCTTTATTTCAACCCTACCCTTAGGCATTGCTGACATGCAGCAAATTACCATTTTCTGGCTTCAAGATGACAAAGATTAAATTACTACTTGTCTCTTCGTTTTATCCTTTTTCAAATAATTTGGTCCTCATTGCAAAATATTGAAAGTTGAATTATTTTCTTAAATTTTTTTTTCTTTTTTTTTTAGTTGGAGAAGCGTCAGCATTTCGTGGAAAACTCTCATATGTATTCATTACGAGACCTCATTGATGCCAACTGTCAGATACTGCTACCTGAATTAAAAGAAATTGTCCAAAACTTTTTGAAACATATCAAAACTGATTGCAAGGTAATTAGTGTTCATCTTTGTTCTTTCTTTCTCACTTTTTCACTAGGGGTGCTGAAAACTTCATGGCTCAAGTAAGTAGGAAGCTTAAAATAAATTTTGATGTTTAGAATATTGATAAATTCTAAAGCGGATACTGAGATCAATGCCAAGCATTGGCATTGGGACTAGCATACTTATCTTGATTGTTATATTCAGCCATTGTCCTCCACGCAGACGTCTCCGGGCGGGCGTTGTCCTCCACGCAGACGTCTCCGGGCGGGCGTTGTCCTCCACGCAGACGTCTCCGGCGTTGTCCTCCACGCACGTCTCCGGCGGCGTTGTCCTCCACGCAGACGTCTCCGGGCGGGCGTTGTCCTCCACGCAGACGTCTCCGGGCGGGCGTTGTCCTCCACGCAGACGTCTCCGGGCGGGCGTTGTCCTCCACGCAGACGTCTCCGGGCGGGCGTTGTCCTACTTGATAAACTGATCAGAGCCATGTATCAGGTTCTATGTATGATATTTTGAGTTTTGAAGCTTTAAAATTCCCCCTTGTGTTTCTTTGCGTATTTCTAGGATTGAACTTGTGATAGTGAAAAGAAAAAGATTTCTTTGCAGAATTGATTATTAATTGTACTGTTGGGCTTTTTCAATATTTAGATTTAAGAACAAAATTCTGCTTTATTAAAATTTGACTTCATGAAAGTGTTTTATGATAGGATGTAAGGGAGATAACTCTTAGAAATAAGTAACGGAAGTGAATGTCTTTTCTTTCTCCTGCCTAACAACTCTGGGTTTCACAACTTATGTCAGACATCCAACTGAACCAATGTAATTTTTTTTCTATCCTCCTCATTATTAATATATATTTGTAAAACCTTAGATTTCACAAATATACTTGGGAGGCATAGTGGAGTAATGAATAGCGGCTCAGATTGAGGAATTGGAGAGGTGAGTTTGAATTCCAATCAGATCCATTACATTCACTTATGTGCTAATAACCTTGGGAAAAGTATTGTTATATTCCATGCTAATAGGAATATATACTTGAAAAACATGAATAAAATAAGTAAAGGTTTATTGTAAAAACCAATGCAATATGAATAAAGGTAACTTATGCACAAGGTCATCACAAGTCAATCCAGTAGTGAGTGCTACTATTGGAAGGTCGGTAGTTCTCGCATAATATATATATATATATATATATATATGTGTGTGTGCGCGCACATGCAGCCAAGTAGTTAGAACATTTGCTATCTCACCCTGGTCAATTTGTCAGTTTGTCAGGAAGGGACTTCTTGATGGGATGGGGAAGGTGATCCCAACATGTGGCACCTTGCAGCGTGCCTGTAAACCATGTGACAGGTTAACCCAAACCTTGTGAGTGAAATTGGGTAGACGGAAATATTTAGAGGAGGTGTCGATGGTTGTGCAAGTACAAAGGGATGCTGGGAATTTTAAAAAAATATAATTTTTTGTAAATTTTTTGTTTTTTGTGTTTGTTTCCATCACTTTTGCAATTAAATATCCTATATTTTGATAACAGATCTGTGAAACGCATGAACCTGGATGCAAATTTATTGTGGATGAACTAGGAATTAAAGCACTTTCTAAAAATTTTCACTTTAGTGAATTATTTTCTTTTCTTTTTTTTTTATGTTAAAATTGTTGTCAGTCTCGCTACGGTGAGCTTTTAATGTTTTTAAACACACTATAGGCTCAAAATTTAGGACCACATTCTGGATTTTAAAGAATTGCTTAAGAATTTAAGTTTTCTAAATCTAATTTTACACGCCATTTATACCACAGGGACTATCTCTTCTTGAAGGGTTTTAGCATATATTCAATAATAATAATATTAACCCTATGCTACATAAATTTCCCTTAAAATTTTTGCTCTAATCTGCAGGTTCATAGTAATCTTAGGGGCTGAGGTATTTTAAATTTTAGTAACACTCTTTTTAAAAAAAATGTTTTTATATAATGTTTTATCCCTTAGGACCTCATTGATTTCTTTAGGTTGATGTGACGACATATGTAGACAAACGAGAGATGCTGAGAATTTTAGATCTACAAAAAATTTTTTTTTTATATGCATTTTGGGTCTCTAATCTATCCAATTTCATTTACCATCTTTTCTTTTGGTTTTCATCATCTTTGTTATTAAATATCCAACATTGTGATAGCAGAAGATTTTCCAAGAATGGTGAAACTTAAGAACATGAATGCAAATTTATTTTGGATGAACTAGTAATTAAAGTGCTTTCTAGACATTTTCATTTCAGTGAATTGTTTCCTCTTTTAATCAGAGCAGCATTTTTTATCTCAAAATTGTGGTCAGTCTCATTATGGTGAGCATCTAATGCATTGAGTGTATTATTTTGTAAAAGACCTGTTTTTTTTAGATAATTAAAGTTTTTCGGGATGTTTCTGGAATAATGGTGCCAAAATTTTAACCTTGGAGCATTGGTTAGGAATGCAATGTCCTTCATGGGGTTTTTATTACATCAGTGGAATCACTTCCTTTTCAAATAACATGCAACAGGTTGAAAATATGTATGGCCTGTAAAATTTCCAGATAAATGATCCAGATGCTGTAGAAGAATTGTATGGGAAAATGCAAAGTTAATGTAAAACTTTTTCTTTTTTTTCTAGTTATGCCAAGCCAAAGGATACGTGTGTGAACTGTGTAACAGTTCTGAAATTCTATTTCCCTTTGATGTTTATACGAGTTCCTGTACATCTTGCAGCCAGGTTTTTCACAGGTAAGTAATCCTCATTAATCATTTTCACAGATAAAGATAGCCATTAATTTTTTATTAGAATTTTTCATGTGTGAAGATGATATATAAAAGATGATACTTAAAAGGCATAAGTCAGAATAACTGAAATGGTTAAAGGAATGACAATGGAAAGAAAGATCTCGTGTGACGTGTTTTGTGTTTCAAAAGAACGTCTTCAGACTTATGTTTAATAATATTTAGTCTGAAGAAGTCTTCTGAAAGACAAAGCTTGTCACATAAGATATCTTTCTCTTTCAGAGATGTTTTCTTCTTTAATTAATGAGGTTTTTAATTACCCACCAACTTATTTCATCTTTAATTTTTAAATGAAGCATTGTCAGCCATCATTATTAATTTTTGGCTTATATTTCCTTTCATCGTCTTGCCAGCCATTAATTTTTGATTAATTTTTACTTTTTTATTATTATTGTATTTTTTTTTTTAATTGGTATCACCCCATGCAAGGCAATAAAGCCACTAAGACACAAGGAGTTACAGGAATTAGGAACAGAAACATTAATAATGAGCAGGAAGAGGAAAGAGTAATCAGGACAGTAGATAGCAATTGACATTGCATTTAGATTTTTGCAGATTAAAATTGGTTGGAAAGCATGGATTGGGAAGCTAGTTACACAAGTGATAAGTGTGAGGAAAAAAAAAAATGTTAGCATAGAATTTATGATTACATCTAGACAGCTGAACTGTAAATTGATGAGATATCGATGCCAGTCTAGAATTGTGCTTAAACTCAGTGTCTAGGTGCCATCATGAAGAGCGATATTTATTTATTTATTTATTTATTTTGTAAAATTTACAAAAATATGGCACAAGGCCAGAAGTGTGGATGGGGGAAAGGCTGGTCTTCTTCTGTCTTATAATTAAACTTAGTCACAATCACTGACCCAAACATACCACAATATTCCTAACACCAAAACAACACATTCTTACATACCAATTCTTACTACATCCACCATAATACCTCAGAATCTCCATGAAGTTTTAAGTAGCCCCCCCCATATGTACAGTTATTATTTGTGAGGCATAGGGATAAAACAACAATAAAAGAATTTATAGAAAAGACAGGCAACCTTACGGTGGTGGGGAAGTAACTAAAGCTGAGCTGCCAGGTCAAGACCACGAATATTGTTTATTATTCTTTGGATCTTATCAAGGAGCTCAAGGTAAATAGCAACCAATAGTAACCATATTTGGCAGCAATATTCTAAGCATGGATAAGAATGGTAAACTCATAGATATAAAAAAAAAAGTTGCTTTTTATTGCAATGTTATCAATCTACAGCAGCGACTTGGCATTGCGAATTGGAAAGAAAAGATAAGATTTTTTTGAGATTTGAATCTTTCTTTCTTTACCTGTTTAAATGCACTGTTTGCCCTTACCGGGTGATCTATAAATGCTCTTACAGTTGGCATATAATAAAACCTATTGTTTGACCCATCCTGTTATATCCCAGGTTGTTAGGATGAACAAAAAAGAATGAAAATAAGAGACTAATTTAATTTTAATACATAATAAAACAACTTTTATTTACTACCTGAAAACAGCAAGGATTAGTTTGGGATTTAAACCATGAATTCCACGTGTATGTCAGCCAGTCACCATGTTGAATTCAGTACCACACTGATTTCCCAAGCAAATTCTTTGTATTTTGAGTTATTGCTCTTTATAGGGGAAGTAAGTTAGCATCCCCTAATGCTTATGTTCAGTCTTTCTCCTGGTGCCATGTTTGTTTGTGCTAGAAGCAATAGTATTTTTGTTACTTTTTAAAAATTTTAATTATTGATTGTCAGCCATTATTATGACTCAAAAATTGATAATAATGGTTGATATTTCATCTAAGAAAATGGCTTATCATTAGTATATCTTTGTGTTATAATAGTCATTGCATTTAATGCATTGAAAATATATATATATATATATATATATATATATATATATATATATATATATATAATACACTACAACATTACAGCGTAAGCTCCTTTTGTTATTTATTTATATATATATATATATATATATATGTGTGTGTGTAAAAAATATATAGAAATTGTAAATATATATATATATATATATATAAACATCAACAAAAGGAGCTTATATTGTAATCACATTAGACATACCAATTCATTCACTAGCTCAGTCACTAAATCTACTTTCAAAATCTGCCACAACTCAAACTCTAGAATTCATAATATAATTTACCTATTAGAATGCACACTATGCCAGAAACAATATGTGGGAAAATCTGGCCTTTTCACTACAGAAGTATTATCAGAAACAGATCAAGTCGGCTCTCCACAAAAGATTATTACCTGTAGAACAACATTTCTGCCTTGAAAAACATGCCAAATTCACTATGATTGAAAAAATAGAAATACAGAAAAGATAACCTTAGAAAAATACTAGAAGAACATGAAGACAAATGGATTTTGTACCTCAAAACACTTCATCTAGACGAGCTTAACCACAACAATTTAACAACATAGATAGAATTAATATATAACCCTGTAAATCAAGCCCTACCCATATTTCTCACCCACACAAGACAGACATGCTTGCAGAATTGTTGAGGTCTCACACTTACACACACTCATACTAATATATAGATACATTTTCTTAATAAAATTACCAACAGTCAATTTTATGATCTACAAAATATATATCTAAAAACCACACCTTTACATTGAGAGTATAAAATTATATACAAGATAAATTTATTTTTTATAAATACTTACGTTGTAATTGTTTGAATGAATTCTTTGCTATGGTACCTTGGGTTTTTGAATTTAAGCCTCACACTAGTGTCAAGATCTCCTCAATTTATGGTTGAGCTAGCTAGATATAGCCGTAAATTCTATGCTAACAGTTTCTTCTCTCACACTTCATGCTTGTGGAACTCCCTTGATAGCTCCATGCTTTCCAGCCAACTTCAATCTGCAAAAATTTAAATGCATGTCAATCGCTATCTACTGTCCACCTGATTACTGTCTTCTTCAGCTCATCATTAATGTTTCTGTTCCTAATTCTTTCATACTCTGTAACCCCCTGCGTACTTGAGGCATTACTGCCTTGCTTGGGGGTGTTCCAATTTAAAAAAAAAAAAATCTAGTTGGAAGTTAAAATTTTGAGTGGTATATTTAGATTTTGGTATCAAATAACCCATAGAGGTGTTGATATGCTGCTAAACAAAATTAATCAATCAACCAGACATGAGATGTTCGAACAAGATGTGTCACAACCAGTATTCATGCTTGTACTATTGGGGTACAAGAGATCTTCCTAAATAGTAATCAACTACTTCTCCTTGACTTAAAGGTAGCAATCTTTTAGAGCAGGGGTTTTCAAACTGTAGTCCGCGGACCACAGAGGGTCCGCAAGGACAAGATAGGGGGTCGGTGGACAGCAAACACTTTTTTATGGGTGACATGCAACTTATAAGTGCTTATAAGTTACTTATAGGCCGATCATGAAATAAATTGGTTCAATAAACTATTTCATAAAATTTGATATATTAATATAATTTGTATCTTAAATTGATAAAGATAATGGATTCTATTCATGCAGAGAAGGAACGAAAGGATTTGAATTTAGGATCTTATTTTGTGATTTCCGGCTTTCTCATTGGCTGTTAGGCGTTTGCATTAATGCAAAATTATATGTTATATTCAGCAAATATTTATGTATGAATTTCATAAGCGTTTATAAGGGGGTTCCTAAGGTAAAGCCTGAAATATAAAGGGGTCTGCAAGTCAAAAAGTTTGAAAACCCCTGTTTTAGAGTACGACCATAACATATTTGTTAGTTCTATGTTTGTGTCATGTTTTATTGTTTTTTGTATTGCTACTGTGAATAAAATAGGAGATGTCTTTTGGCACCCCTCTTTTCATTATCCTTTAACACCTTCTTTTATATAATAAACGTGAATGTCAGTGTGTCACTATGTCACACTTTTTCAACTTTACTCTTACGGGCCATAGCCCAACCTATCATACCATTTTGGAATCAGGTTGACTCTGTGAGCAAATGAAAAACATTCTAGGCTGGATTTTCATTACTGAAATTGATTTCTGCACTTTCTTATTAAAATTTTTTTAATTTTTTTTTATTTATATTTATTTATTTATTTTTTTTAACATGATTTTTGCAACAAATTCTTTTTGTACAATGACAACTTGGCAATAGACTTTTGGAATAATCAAAATTAATTGCAAAATCCGGCAAAAGTCACTCATGAAATAAAAATAATTGTTTGTACAGAAAGTAAGGGCCTACATACATCAAACTGTTTTTAAGTTAAGTGGCGGCAGAAGAATTATTGTTGAACTTTTAAAAGCCAAGCTTAAATATTAATTCAATACTTAAATGCAGCGATCAACTTTTTCTTCTGTAGTTTATCACATCTGCACCTCCCTACCTATTGTGATGAAGGCCCAATCAAGAGCCCTCCACAGAAGCTAGCTTAAATGCAGCTATTAAGCTAGTGCATCTATGTTTGGGATCTCCTTGCAGTAGGGAGCCATTATAAAATAACAACCCAACAGGGCTCTGTTTTACAAACAATCATGTATTGTGTCTTATGCTTAATAGTTAGTCTTTTAATCTTGCTTTCCCTTACACTCTTGTGAGTGTGTCATTGATAAGGTGTCACTTGTGAATCTTCTGTTTGTCATGTGGACATTTGTGTTTTTGATATCAAGGAAATTGATCTGTTGAAATAGATGGACACAACAGTGCAATTTTGAAAAATTTAAATTCTTGTTGATTTTTTTTTTTTTTTGTGATGTCAATGGACACTCTTTGTTACTTTCATAATGCTCATTGTAGTAGAGACCTTGTAATCACAGATACAACTATAGTAACACCATTGAACAATACTGGTGTCAGACACCTTCGAATATCACTCGCACTAATAGTACTTGCTCTCACTCGAAAAGTTACCACCGAATAGTGATCAGTATAGAGAAATAGTATAGAGAATGGCAATCTGTATTGTAATAGAGGATAGAATAGAAATGGTGATGAATTAGATGCCACGCTAATTCCCATATATATATATATATATATATACATACATTTCTTCCTTTGCTATCGTGATCTACTTATTAGAAATGGGATTGCCTGTGTTTGCTTTCTGGTGATCTATTTTCAGCAATACTTTATTCCTATATGTAACACTTATAACACCTTTTTTTAAATAGTTCAATATAAGACACATTTAAAAAGAGGTTACTATTGCCAGTTTTAAATGTCACATGAAGTTGTTGCTATGTGATTTTTTTTTTTTTTTTTTTTCCATGCTGAGACCTTGGGGGTGGGCAAACTTCTTGAAATTAATAAATATTTGTCTAATTAATTTTTTCTTTATTTTGCAGAAAATGCTTCATGAAAATGTCCAGTTGTCCTCGGTGCACACGTCGAGCTCGACGAAGTACCATCCAAAACTGAAAATGGAATCCATTGGAACTTAGGCACACCTGGATATGTAAATGCTTACACACACACACACACGATTTCTAAGGAATCAATGGATCTTTTATCCAACATTATTTTGTGGATACCCGTGTTTGAATAGATATCCTGCTTCTTTTTTTTTTTTTTTTTTTTTTTCTTGGTGTAAATTATGTCTACTGGCCTATGAATTGAGAGACTTGATAGAGAAATTGTTCTCTCTGGCAGGATTCAAGCTAGTGTCTCCCTTTGTAAGAGAAACCACTGTCCAATTTGGCATGCTCTCTTTCACCTTATGGTCTAAAGGATGCTGGATCAGATGCTGGTTTCTCCTATAAAGAGGTCCACTTGTTTGAACCCTGCTGGAGAGCACACATTTTTTAGCAAGTCTCAAATAGGCAGACTGGTGGACATAACTGCACTGTTTATTATAAAATAATGTTTGGATTAGTGTGTGTGTGTGTGTATGTATGTATGTATGTATGTATGTATATATATATATATATATATATATATATATATATATATGATAACAAATAGGCTATGTTTATCAATCTAACAAGTTTGGCTTTTATTAAAGCTTTGTCAAGAGATTAAAAGAAAACATGAGTCAGAATTTTGCTATTTTCAAATTTGTTTGCATTAATTCTCATTGAAAATATCAAAGTTCTGTTTTTTGTCCATTTCCTCTCAATCTCTCACGAAGCTTTAATAAAAGTGAAATATGTTAGATTGATAAGTGCTTCTTATTTGTTCTTTATCTTATCATTCTGTCGGATTCCGATCCATATTTGATCTACAACTCTCTCTCTCTCTCATATATATATATATATATATATATATATATATATATATATATATATTTTTTTTTTTTTTTTTTTTATTACTTCAAATGTTATTTTCTAGAGGCTACTCTTATTTGAGTAGATGCTATATTACAGTGTTTATTTTTTCTACTGACTTGTGCACTTGAGAAAACGTAAGCAAAATGTGCCCTCCAAAAAGATTTGAAGATGCATCCTTCTTTGCAGGAGAAACCATCTTCTGATCTGTCAAGCTTTGACTGCTCAGCTACAGAGAACTTCAGTCAAGCATTAAGGCAAGCAGAACCTTGCTTGGCTGCGAAGCTCTCCATGACCAAAATGCTCAAAGCACACGAGATCTGATGGTGTTTGTTCCTGCAAAAGGGGACACATTTTCATTGTCTTTTTTTTTTTTTTTTTTTAAATGTCTACCCAAACCTGGTTATCCACAAAAAATAAGTAATAAAAATGTTGGAAGAAAAAAATCTATTTATTCTTTAAATATATAAAGTATCACACATTAAATGCCGGTGTTAATAAAACAGTGCTTGGAGTATAATAACAAAGCTAAAAGTAATACTAATAATAAACATTTTTTCCACACCATGTAACAACTCTGAGTTACATGCATGATGTAATTGTCAGATGCTGATCTCGGGTCCTGCTATCAGTGAGAAACAAAATTTATATTTATTATTTGTGTGTGTAATATATATATATATATATATATATATATATATATATATATATATATATATATATATATATATATATATATATATATATATATGGACTCTGTTAGATTGGTTGACCTTTTAGATCTTGCTCTCGCTTCTTGATGATTCAGACATGCAGATTGAAAATTGCTGAGTCCATTAAAACACATTGATCTCCATTCTACCTGCTCCAAAGATAAGCTCTCAAGAGTGTTGTGTGGTATATTGACAGCTGACAAGTTGCCTTTCAGCTTGTCTTTGTATCTTAGCCATGGGCGTCCTACATTCCTGTAGCCCTGACCTAACTGGCTGTACATTAGGATCTTGGGTATCCTGTCATCAGACATTCTCACGACATGACCAGTCCACTGTAACTGAGACTGTATGATAAGTCTCAATTCCTCCAATATTACACCTGTTAAACAGGTCTACGTTATATATATGCACACACACACACACACACACACACACACACACACACACATATATGTAATGTAATATAATAAAATAGATACATAGGAAAATGATATATAAATTGTTTTTATATATCAAGAACAATTTTAGAGGGGGGGAAAAGTATGACAAAGTGGTGAAGGTTTTCTTGTGTTGCTCTTCATTCTTTAGGACTTCATCAGACTTGTCTTAAAGGATGAAATGTGCCCCACGAAAACTTTTACCACTTGGTCATACTTATTTTCCCTTAATGTCTATGTTCAGTGTTTATATTTCTATACACAATTGGTGAGTGAGTGAATTTATCTGGATGGGTGGCGTCAATAGATGTGCTGGGCAGTTCTCTTCTACTGATGACAGTTGCACATCCTTTATTTGCCTTTATGTGTATTATGCATTTTACTAAGAAATTCTTCAGGGCACAAACCCCCTCCCGTGTGTGTGTGTGTGTGTGTGTGTGTGTGTGTGTGTGTGTATATGCATGCATATGTCTTTATTATATAAAAGCAGTAAATCTGATGTATATAAAAAAATCTGTGTGATTTTGATTTTTTTTTGTGTATTTGTATATATATATATATATATATATATATATATATATATATATATATATATATATATATATATATATATATATATATACTCATGGATGTGTGTGTGCATGTGTTTACTAAAAATCAAATCCAATTGCAATAAAGACTATATTCTTTGTATCTGACAAAATAATGGACAAATATTTAAAAAAATTGCCTGAAGCTTGCTTACTGAAATTTTTTTGATGGACTTTTCTTTTGAATATATTTCTATAAATCCAAAAAAAAGAATAATTTTTCAAAACTTTATTCATTTTTAGGTATATAAAGGCATATGGTGCATCAAAGGTATTTTTTTTTTTTTTTTTTAAATAACTTGATTTAAGATCAAATATGGATCGTAATCCAACAGGATGCTAAGATAAAGAACAAATGGAAAACATTTATTAATCTAACATGTTTCACTTTAATAAAAGTGCCATCACAGATTGAGAGAAAACGGACAAAAAGACGAGACTTTGGTATTTTCAAATTTGTTCAGATTGATTCTCGTTGAAAATATCAATTCTGTTTTTTTGTCTGTTTTTTTTTTTTTTTTTTTCTCAATCTCTGACAAAGCTTTAATAAAAGTTAAACATGTTAGATTAACAATTTCCTATTTGTTCGTTTATCTTATATATTTCCTTCTAATCCAAACATTATTTTATAATAAACGGTGCAGTTTATTATGCCTGTGTGTGTGTGTAGGATGGAGATGAGGTAAAGTGTAAAAGCTATAAATGGCACATTTTGCGAAACACCTGTTGCTTTTCACCCTTTTTAAGGGCTGACCTGAAGTCGCCAAAGGCAACGGACATTCATCGAAAAGTGTTATTTGTAGCTTTTACACTTTGCCTCATCATCTGCATCCTACGCACAGGTAAAAATCGGCGGGTAAGTAATCCAAGTAGATCCTATTAATACAAAATATTAAAACTGATCCACAAAAGAGAGCTCAATATACTTATTATAGAGCATATAAGTGAATTACGAAAAATGAGACCCGAATTTCAGATGGCCATTATGTTCCCCTGGGAGATATTCCCTAGGATTTGAAAAATGCAAGCACCTGTTTCCATTGACAAAGTCCCAAGGGGAACAAAATAGCCATCTAAATGGGGTAATTTGGGTTTAATTTTTTGTATTTCACATATAAAGGGTGTTTCATTAAGACGGATCAAAGTCAGCAGTAAATAAATCAGTGTTATTAGTGAAAATTTATTTATTTCTCTATTGGATCATGTTATTTAAGTTATAGCAATTTATATGCGAAAAATAATATCACCCAAATGTCTGCTAAATCTAAAAGAGAAAAAAAAAAAGAAAAAAAAAAGTCATTAACCTCTTAAACTTAATTTGCATTAAAATTGGTCCACGTTATTGAAACACTCTTTTTAATTTCATATATATATACACACGCGTGTACATATATCTTCAGATAATTCTAGATCTCCTGAAATTTTTCAACTTCTGGTGGCCGAGTTCTCTATGTAAAGCATTATATTTCGATAACTGATGGCTGTTCACTCCTATACAAAGAACAAATTGCGACACTTTCACCGTTTTTTGTTCCCAAATCTCCACACTTAAACTTGTTTTGAGAAGTATGGTCAGATGTTTTCTTATTAAGCAGTTTCAGTGGCTTTGAGGAAAAATTAAAAACTAACTCTCCAAAATTGCCCAAATCTTAGCAATTGTATTCACCATTTATAATATCCAAATCAGAAGGTACAGTCGAACGATCTGGATATCACACCCACTCTCACTTTTGTACTAAATGCAATTATCATCTGGTACTGTTGTGCTGGCTGGGAATTTTTAACTTATAAAATAATAAGAGTTCTGATTCAAATAAATGTTCTGCTGGGAATTTTTATGTCAGCTTAATATGGGAGAAAATAATTGTTCTATGGAAAAAATTAGTTGGAAATACTAAGTAAATAAAAAAAACCAAAAAAAAAAAAAAACAAGTGGTTGGTTGAAATTAAAGGAAATAATTGTGCATTAGACAAAATCATGAACATACATATATATTAATATTATTACTTTAACATTTAGCAAACTTTGACCTTTGTGTCTGCAAAAAAAACAACTGTATCAAAAGGACAGTTTTGCCCATGACAAAGTTGTTTTTTTTTTTTTTTTTTTTTAAACTACCTTTTAAAATGCAATGATTAGAATTGTATCAAATACCTATACATATGAAAGTGAATTTATACATTTTCTTTGTTCTTAAGATTTTACAACAAAAATAATAAAGATTATTTATTTATTAGATTATTTACACTGTTTATTATATTGTTTATTAGAATGGTTGGCAAAATATTGGCTAATTGCCAATTGATTCAAACTTTATAAAATGGTAAATAAGGATTTCTTTATAGTTCGTTCACATATTTTAATAATTTAGTAAATGTTTATAAATTAATGAATAAAAAATTGTTTTCGTATTT